GGGGTCGAACATTTTTCTTGAACAATCGGTCTTAAATTCAAATCAACGACATATTTGCCAATGCCAGTTATTTTATTTGATTTTTTTCGTTGTTACAGATATATGGATATAGGATGTCTCTGTGGGCAGAGCATACGGGCACTCTCGAGCAATGCTTTGAGCATCCCGAGAGCTTAGAATGCGTGAGACGCGTGAGATGGATGGGTGAGGTTAATTGGAGAGAGTTCGAGTCGAGCGAGATAAGTGCAATGAGAGGGCACCTACTGAAGTACCCAGTGCACGTTGATAGCACGGGAAAGGTTACGCCTTTGCCCGGTTGTGAGACTTTTCCCGACATGGGTGGCAAGATAATCGGCACATTTACTGGGATTCAAGAAAATCTCACCATTTGAAATTGTACAGTTTATGTGCTTGTGATCATTCTATAGAAACATCTGTTTTTATGTAGTTTAGATTGTGTTAACAGCTTTAGTAATGATGCAATCAGGTTTTGATGCCCCTTTAGGCATGCAGCTAGAATGCAGCCATATGGACTTTCAGTGCAGTTTAATTGAACTGATGAATCATATATTGTGTGCTGTGAACTGATGAATTTGACATGCATTAATACAGCTCATTTATTAGTTTATTCACAAAAAAAATTGTGAAGTGAAGAGATAATGTATGATTAGAAGAAAACATTACATAGAAGAAAATACGAAAAATTATAAGTCACAACTATTTCAAGAATATAGGTTGGTTTGATTTTTGTATTTATAATTTATACTAAATAGTATGCAAGCATTTTTTTAGTTCTAATTAATCGTATTCGTGATAATATTTAACACATAGATGAATATTTATAAGGAAAATGTCATGAAAGATGATTTGCAAGGACAAAATAAGTAGAATTCGAGGAAAACCGTAAGTAAACAAAATAAAAGAAAAGGAACCAAATATTATTCCATCTAGCGACCTGTCCTCCACTTGCGTACGTTAAAACTCAAAAAATATACAAAGTTAAAACGAGGATTGTCCTTCACCTCTCCGCTCACGCACACTCCAGAGAAAAGATAATAAATATATTCAATCACACTTTCCTGTTACACAATATTCATTCATTCATCAGTGTGTGTAATTGATCTTGGGGTTTATGTTTTGTTTGTTTGGCTCAATTATCAATGCCTTCTATTTATCAAAATTTCTCCTTTTGAATATTTTGTCACTCCGCATTTTCAGTTTTTGTCTAAAAATTTTACATTTATTTAAATAAGATTTTCAATGATATTAAAATTTGAACAAACTTTTAGAAATTATCCAAATGTGTTTATTTGATAAGTTAGTGTCCAGAACAACAAAATTATGACATTAGATTACCAATCGTCATTTATTATTATTTAGACAAGCAATGTATTCTCTTTACCAAAAAAACGCGCCT